ATATATATATATATATTATATATATATATATATATATATATTATTAATAATAATATATATATATATATATATATTTAATAATAATATATATATATATAAATAAATTAGATATATATATACTCTATTAACACGCTCCTATATACTGTATCATAGTATATAATGGTCATGTTATGAATATGATCATGTTATACATAAAAATACCGAATGTTAGAAAAATAGTTTGTTGTTGCCTACTTACTCCCGTGAGGTATTCGCCAACTCTCTATTACCTTCAATACGTTTTATTATTTAACGTATATTCTTTGAAAGTTTATACGTCTGGGTGCATGTTCAGAGCTGGGGTTCAAAAGACTCAGTATTTATTCACAGATTGTTCGTTTCTTACTACAATAAGCGTATTTTTTGTTTGTCTTTTGACCCGAGTAAACATTAAATAGTTTATATATAGAACACATAAGCGTTTACGTTTATCTTTTTAAGTTGTCCCTGTTTTTATCGGATTGAGGTTACTATTAGCTCTCAACCGCTCCGTTTTGGGTTCCGGTTGGCGGTGACGTTATGTTTAAAGTTTTTACAAGATGGTATCTCGTATCTATAAATATATCGACTCATCGGGACTATGACGCAACTCTAAACAATGTTTTTCATAGATCTTCATCAATAAACCAGGTTTACGATTGATCTCAGGGGAATGAGGAATGCATCGGCCATCAGGGCTCAGGACTCTCTCTCTGGTTTATTAGGTTTGGGCCAGAGCCCAGAATTCACGTGCACCTATAACCTAATGTTGAACAACCGTTGCCTATAACCTAATGTTGAACAACCACTGAAATCGATGGACGGCGCTCTCTAGCTTGACTTCTCCACATACACGCAAAAAAAACCATATATATAAGATCACTCTATGATCGTATTGAGCTTCAAAATATATAGTGTACCAACCTGCACTTTAAGCGCACACATTGGTGAATACTTGTGTGCGGTGTAACTTGTGTGCGATTTGCGTCCTAGGCTGTATATAGGTCGTATACTTGGATAGTTCATATACTGCATTGTGTGATGACGGACGTAGTTGCCTTGGAAAAGGTCTTTTTGGCCACTTTCCAACCGGGGACTACCAAGCAAGCCGAGGAACAACTCCGACTGGTATGGATATATATGCATGTTCATTCCCATACATATGTATAATCATATCATCGTACGTATATAGCTTTCTTCATGCTGCTGCATGGCAAGTCTCTGGGCAGACGGGTATTACGATATACTTGACATCGATTCGACCTGTAGATTTCGACCGCAATTATGATACACACAAAATTTGCATATTTGTGAATGATTTTAGAGACTGTAGTTTGATACACGCACGTACACGAACAGATAGTGATATTCAAAATGCAGTCTTTTTTTGCACTCAATTCATATGTATATATATATATATATATTACATATACAAACTCAAAATCAATATTGGTATTACATGAACATATGTATATACATATATATATATATATATATATCACGAATTCAAACCAAAATTGTTATGCGTAATACACGAACATATATATATATATATATGTTTGTTGCCTATGGTTTATGAGTATGAATGTATGTATGGTATGGGCGTATGAATGTATGGATACGGATACGTATATATATATGTATCGTCAATATGAATGCATATACATTCGACATACCCAATTGTATGTTTACAACGCCATCGCCTCTGCCCCAGTACTCGCCTAGTCTGTGTCGCGTTTCGATTGCGGGTAGCAATGGATTCCAGCATTTCGCTCTGTCGGTTCGGGAACATTCCATATACAGGAGTACGTGATTACAAGTCTTGATAGAAATAGAGCCAAAGTCTGCTTCTTAAACTACAGTTCGGGATACGGGTACATGGTCAAACCAGTGTCCATTGTGGGTGTTTTAATTGGATAAGACCATTCCGCATTTATATATATTCACGAGTATATTTTGGGGCTCAGCCCAAATTTCAATACTGAGGAATTGTATTTTGGCATTTGCAGCAGATGTATCCGGATACTATTATACGAAATGGCCAACCTCGGGCTGTTATATATCACACTGCCGAATTCCTCACTGATCTATCGCAACTATTATGTTGTTCAATGAGCATAGTGCCAATGTAATTATTCACAGCTATCATTATATATGTGATACAAATTCTTATACATATATTTGTACATATACATATACATATACATGTAAACGTATAGACGTATGTACATGTATACAGACATATATGTATAATATATATATATATATATACACATGTATGTATGTTTGTATGTATATTATATATATATATATCTAACTATATATATATGTGTGTGAATGTATTATATATATATATATATATCGTCTGAATCGTGTTACATCCAGAAACTAACGATTTGTTCTGTTCATGTTCATATTTCTTTCTATTCAGCTATGCCATACACCCGGGTTCAGTGTCAGCTTGTCCCAGTTACTGGGGAAGTCTGGCATGGATGTTCAGGTGCAAAAGGCCGTTGCCGTCTACCTAAAGAACCACTTGCTTGGTTATTGGGTCGACAGAGGTACCGAACATTTCTCCATACCCGCCGATGAGAAGGCCGCCATCCGAGACAACATTGTAGATATCATCTGTGGCGCTAACACTCAGATTCAGTAGGTTATATATATATATATATATTTAAATGTAATTGTATATGTGTGTGTATATGTATATGTATGTATATATGTACATATATATACACACACATATATGTATATATATGTATATCTATATATATGCGATACTAAATCATGCCTGTATCCTTCTCTGTAGACTGATTCCCGCTGTGGCCTTAGTCGTATCCCCCACATATACTACCTTTCATCATCACTTGAACCTGTCCATATATCCTACCTCTACCGGCTAATCATACTATCTCATCCACTCCACGCTCATCCATGCCTGTTCCCTTCTCCACAGAGTCATCCTGGCCGTAGCCTTTGGACGCATCCTAAACCACGACTACCCAGAACGTATGCCCAACGTAGTAGCGCAGATTGGGCAGCGCATGCAGAGCCAGGACATGAACGTCGTTGTGGGGTCACTCTTCTGTTTCCTGGAGATCTCCAAACGATACGAGTATGCCGCTACGTTTATGTGACTGTTTTGAATATATGTTGATACGAGTATGACGCTACGTTTATGTGACTGTTTTGAGTATATGTTGATACGAGTATGTCGCTACGTTTACGTGACTGTTTCGAGTATATGTTGATACGAGTATGTGACTGTTTTGAGTATATGTTGAAACGAGTATGTCGCTACGTTTATGTGACTGTTTTGAGTGTATGTTGATACGAGTATGTCGCTACGTTTACGTGACTGTTTTGAGTATATGTTGATACGAGTATGTGGCTGTTTTGAGTATATGTTGAAACGAGTATGTCGCTACGAGTATGTCGCTACGTTTATTCCTGGGTATATGTTCTCTGCGGTAGCTTGTGTGCAACGATCGGTGGTTTAAGTGTGCGGCGCGTGATTGTTTTGAGTATATGTTGCTACGTTTGCCCATCTCATACGTTTTCTGCTGTAGCTGTGCGCAATGGCCTTGATCTTAAACATACCTATACGTGACTGGTTTGTTTATTGATTATGCTTTGGTTGGTCGTATGTCAATCCATACTGTTTCTCTACACAGATCATTTCTTATTCCTATTTTCATCGGTTATTGTCTCTCTCCTATTCCTATTTTCATTGGTTTTTGTCTCCCCTATTCCTATTGATCATGGACTTGGAAAGGCTAAAAACCCTAAAACATATCTCTATACACAGATACAAAACAGCCAACGAGCGCGAGCACTTCGATAGCCTCATACCCGATGCGTTCGCGTTTCTCCTGCAAATCGGAAACCACGTGGTTGCCATGGATACGCTCGAGAAAGCCCTGATCCTCAAGTTGGTGCTAAAGATCTTCTACAATGCCATACACTACACCTTACCCACACAGATACAAGACCAGGCTATGCTTACCCCGTGGATGACCCTAATTGGACAGGTACATCGCCCTGGATACGTGTACGATTTAGTATATATAAATGTATTTTACATGAATCTACAAATATAAATACATACATACACACATATATATATGTGTGTGTGTGTGTGTATGTATATGTATGTACATATGCATATACATAAACGAATGTTTATGTATATGTAATCATGTGTTCATGCCTTCATGTCTCTCCCACATTCACATTCATACGAAATCATTGACACATCACTATACATACACCACTGTGTACTTCTTTATCCACCCGTCACATGTTTTCTGACATTGTTTATCCGATACTTCAGGTTGTCTCCACCGACGTGCCTGAGATGGAGGACCCCATCACCGGCAAAAACCCCGCCTGGTTGGCCAAGAAATGGGCCTGCAGTATTATTTTAGAGGTGTGAGGTTTGTGTGTGAGCATGTAGCATCCCATGGTCTCAAAACCTTGTTTAGGGTAAAGGATTTTTTATTTGTCCTGTGCTCCTTGGCAGCAAACAAATATGGTGAAGTTCTGTACTTACAAACCACACATAACAGACTCTCAGCCACAGCCACGACGGAGCACGAGACATGCGCAGAGATGACATGCACACACATCCACTCTTGTCTACAAAGCCTACTGTAACATACATATGCTAATTCATGTGAACATTCTGTTAAAAAGGCATATCTACTTGTATGCTCACATCTTTATCTGATATATATTCTAATTCATGCAAACACATCATTACACGCGGTACACTATCACATGCAGCAACCATTTCTTAATATAATATATATCCTCATCCATGCCAATGTATATTCACGTCTACATATATATCCTCATTCATGCCAATGTACATTCACATCCTCTCTCAGCTATTCACAACGTAAGTACATCTTCTCATGCACGCCAATGTACATTCACTTCTTCTTTCAGCTATTCACAAGACTATAACTTATATATCCTCATCCATGCCAATGTACATTTCACATCCTCTCAGCTATTCACAAGACTATAACTTATATATCCTCATACATGCCAATGTACATTCACATCATCTTTCAGCTATTCACAAGACATATATCCGCATCCATGCCAATGTACATTCACATCCTCTTTCAGCTATTCACAAGACTATAACTTATATATCCTCATCCATGCCAATGTACATTTCACATCATCTTTCAGCTATTCACAAGACTATAACTTATATTTTCTCATCCATGCCAATCGTACATTCACATCCTCTTTCAGCTATTCACAAGACTATAACTTATATATCCTCATCCATAACAATGTACATTTCACATCATCTTTCAGCTATTCACAAGACTATAACTTATATATCTTCATCCATGCCAATGTACATTCATATCCTCTTTCAGCTATTCACAAGACTATAACTTATATATCCTCATCCATGACAATGTACATTTCACATCATCTCTCAGCTATTCACAAGACTATAACTTATATATCCTCATTCATGCCAAGGTACATTCACATCCTCTCTCAGCTATTCACAAGGTACGGACTGCCAGCCACAGCCAGAGACGAGCACAAGGCCTTTGCGGAGATGTTTGTGAAGTCATACGCCACCCCCGCCACAGAGATGGCTCTCACGCTGCTGATCAATAGCAAACGAGAGAACAAGTACCTCAGCTCACGCGTGCAGCAAGTGTGTATCAACATAGTCACGGCCGGCACCTCGCACGGGACTACCTGGAAGGTATAGGTGTATACGTATATGTGGTTGTATCGGTGGTGTCTGGGCCCTATATATACGTACGCATACGTATGTGTGTTTGTATTTGTGCCTGTGAGTGCATACTTCTACGTTTTGGATCTGTATCTAGGCCCATGTATGGACATACGTATTTGTATCTGTATATCCGGATGTATTTGTACCTTTCACCGGTGTGTGGGTTATATCGATGTCGTATGGTCCACGTGTGGGCCGCGTCTATTTATGAGTTTGAATAGCTGTTGTATCTGTATGTGTGCCTGTATTGCATTTTGTGCTGTGTTATATATTCGTGTGAGATTAGACACTATTCAAACGCTGGATAGTTGTTGTATCTATATGTGTGCCTGTAGTGCTCTATGTACTGTGTTAGATATTCGTGTGAGATTAGACACTATTCAAACGCTGGATAGTTGTTGTATCTATATGTGTGCCTGTAATACACTATGTATTGTGTTATATATTCGTGTGAGATTAGACACTATTCAAACGCTGGATAGTTGTTGTAACTGCATGTGTGCCAATATTGCACACTGTGTTGTGTTATAAATTAGTGCCGAATTCGGTTATCCAAACGATGATCCGAATTAAATTTGTAAATAACAGATTGCGAAAATTTTGTTTGGACATTTTCGTTTCTCATTTCATATCCCTTTTGCGCTCTTACTATATTGTTTAAAATTTTAATTATTTTTACAACCGCTACTTCGGGGTTTAAATTTTAACACAGGTCGTTAAACCTCACCTGGAGACCATAGTATCCGATGTCATATTCCCTGTGTTGTGTCATAACGATAAAGATGAGGAGTTATGGCAGGACGACCCACAGGAATACACCCGCGAGAAGTTCGATGTCATGGCCGACTTTGTGTCTCCAGCTGTAGCCGCTCAAAACCTCCTTACAGAGATTGCTACCAGACGGTACGTACACACCCACAAACGTGTATATATATATTTTATTTTAATTTTAATTCTAAAATTGTAAGATTATATATACAATTATATACCATATACTATATGTTTCTCCTTCAAACCTATTAATACAATAGGAACTAGCTGGTGTCCTACACACCCTATATCCTCCACCTTATCCATTCTCCTCCTTCTCCACCCCCACAGCAAGAACACGCTCATGCCCTGTCTGCAATTCTGTAACTCCATCCTGGTTGAGTACCAAAACGCACTCAGCCAAGCCTCCCAACAGGCCCAGAGTGAAGCGCTGGTAGAGGCTATGATGCAACAGGGTCGCAGGAAGGACGGGGCTTTGTGCATGATAGGTACACTGGCACGTCTTATTAACAAGAAGAAGGAACTCAAGGGCACCCTAGAGACCATGCTCATGACCCATGTCATCCCAGAGTTCTCGTCCAGTTTCGGGTTTATGCGGGCGCGAGCGTGCTGGGTGATGCAGTACTTCCATGGTGTGGCGCTGAGGAACGAGGCCGTAAGTATAATATTTAAGCATATGCATGTATGTATATATATATATATAAAGTGGTTCTAGTGTAGTCTAATCATGTGAAAAGTTTTTGCAATCACCCGTAGACAATCTGGTTTTTCCACTTTTGTAGATGGTGATTGAGTGCATGGATAATGTCATCCGCTCTCTGCAAAATGTCCCGTTTTCCACATATTCCCGTCCCGTATTACACTCCTTGATGTCCTGTTATTCACCCATTGACATCCGTTATTCTCCTTCTGCAGGTGGTTATTGAGTGCATGGACAGTATCATCCGTTGTCTACATGATCCAGACCTACCTGTGCGTGTGATGGCTGGTGTTGGTCTCAAAGTCATGGTAGAACACCCTGCTGCCAAGGAGAGGATCCGACCCCATTTGGGTAGGTTAATTTTGTGAAGCTATCGATGCATATATATATATATATATTGTGATTGACTGTGGGTATAACCCTAAGGGTGTTAGTGGTTGGTTAGGTGGCTAGCCTAGGCCTGGGACCTGGGGAAGGGTCAGGTTTAGGGTTACCCATAAGCAGGGGCTGAGAAGGGCCCAGACCTAGGGTTACCCATGTAGTGGGACCTGAGGGTCTCAGGTTTTGGTTCAGTGACGAGTCATCATCAAATATTATGTAGTCATCACTACGGTTGTAGGGCAGAACCACTTTGGGAGTAATTTGATAATATAGATAGAGTGTGTGACAGGAGAACTGCCACACGCTACACCACTAATCTATTAACTTAGTGAATAAACCTGTAATTTGTGCGAGTCTAACTAATGTCTAGAATCACTCACAATATATATATATATATACGGCTCAAGAATGGAACATGTTATCCTAATGTAACAACCAAGGTTAGTGTGTACGAAACACCACATATTACCCTTTCATATGTGCAGTGCATATCCGATTCGTATTGGCCTTCCAATCCACTTGTCTGCGCTAGCGTTGCCTTCTGTCTCATCGTCATTGGGTCAAGTCTAGGACGAGCTAATCAAACACACCACCGAGAGATGTTGTGTCACGTTTTATTCTATCCACATTCATACACGTATTGATGTGCCTTTTATTACCTACATTCACACTTGTTTACATACATCGTCTATTACCCTACCTTCACACTTGTTTTCATACATCGTCTATTTCCTAAATTCATACATGTATTGATACATCGTCTATTACCTACATTCACACTTGTTTTCATACATCGTCTATTACCCTACCGTCATTCATACACACCCCATTCATAGTCACCTTATTCGATCTGTTTGACTACTGTCGCCTATTTCGCCTTCTCACTTCAACCGCTGGCGTTGCTGCCCCTGTCTTTGTCATGTCATTAGGTCAAGTGTTAAACGAGCTTATCAAACTCACCAACGAGGCCGAGAACGATGACGTCGTGACTGTCATGGAAGACCTGGTGGCTGTGTACGGCACAGATTTGGGCGACGTATCCATCACACTCAGCGCTCAGCTGGCCCAGACATTCATTAACATGGTTAAAAGCTCGAGTGAGGTGTGTGGTAAACGACTGTGGGTGTAGAGTTATTGATTGTATGTGTATAGTGAAAGGTGTGTATGTATGTATGTATGTATGTATATATCTATCTATATGTCTATGTCTATATATAATCTATATACATATCTATCTATATGCTATAATATGTATATATATTTAAAGGTATGTTATTCGATCCGTCTGATGCATACATCAAAATGTACTATGTTGATCATATGCACAGCGCCTTGTGTCTATTATTAGCCAGCCAATTAGCCCTCCATTTAACATATATATATATATATATATATATTCTCGTAGTGGTCAGCGGTACTTCTTCTGGCACACAACAACGCAGCACACGTCCCCGTCTAGTCGAGTGTTAGAATAAACATCTCAGTTTCTTGGTGCGTGGATTGAGGGAGACTCCATTACAGCCATACTACTGCTCTATACACACATGCATATGTGAGTGTGTATGTGTGTGTGTGTGCTTAGGACGTCTAACTGCAACGTAAACATTCAAGCATGTGCTTGTGCTTGTCAATAGCGCAGGCTAGTTTGTAAGTGAACGTACATTTATATATTATTTTGAACGAAGTGAACATTTGGATATTATTTTGAACGAAGTGAATATTTGGATATTATTTTGAACTGTGTCGATAGCCTTAGCGTAGACTACATCATACGGGTCTTTTGGCATACGGGTAGCTTGTAGCTCAGATGTGTTGCTCGCATTCGTGTACAGCATGTATTAGACATTTATATGAATCCTAATCCTGTATCTATTATATACTCTGTCTTCGTTTGTTTTTGATTGATAAGGCACACAAGGGATTTATATTGTGTACGTATATATATATATATACTCTACATCGGTGATCAACATAAATATTAAATACAGACAATCACAACTGTGTGCACATTTTCTTATGTAGGATAATGGTGAAGCTGTACTAAAAGCTACGACGATGCCAAGTAACCTCAATTTTTGGTCTGCATGTATCTACAATCATTTCCTTAAACACCTACGTATGTACTACTCCACAAATACAAATACGTGAATATTACAATCCTGATTGTGCAGGATAATGACGAAGACGTGTATAAAGCCATGACCGCCCTAGGGACACTACGTGCGATGATGACTATTGTGGCCATCTATCAGGAAGCACCGGAGATGTTAGTACACATCGAGAAGAATATCCTGCCATGGTATGTAGGTTACATCTGTAGAGACGTGGATTTCACTCACTCACTCACTCACTCACGCATATATATATATGTGTGTGTGTGAGATAAATGTATGTATGTTTTTCATGTATATATATATATATGTATGTATGTATGTTGAATATATGTATGTTTTTGATATTGTATAAATATGCTCAATGTTGCTTACCTATAGCAATTATTGTGAGTTTGTACAGAAGTCTACGTTTCTGACTTGGGTCATTCCAGTACCTACACAATACCGAATACGGAAGCAGTTGGAAGCAGGTAAATTGCATATGATTGAGCATATATCAACCCTTGGTGGTGAACGTTCTAGGGTTTTCAGGTTCTCACAACCGCTTCTATGAATAGTATATACTTATTCCTCGATGATGGGTAGGCAGACTGTTTGGCTAATCAAACCAATCTCGAACATAAACGTGTATACATCCATGTATTTATAAGGCATCAATGTGTCGTATAGTACATCATCCCTTTTCTGTATTGTTGTCATATATTACACTACACACATCCCGTCACAGCATATACCTGGTACTGAACGACGGCCATGTGGATTACCTCGAGGACGTGTTGGAGATGTTGACGTCGTGTCTATTCCACCGACAAGAGATTTCCAGTGATGTGTGGGCACTCTTCCCCGCACTTTATGAGGTATTTCTATTGTAGACCCGATCATTCTGATCATGCATCAGAACCTCAGAACCTAGACATGCAAATATATATATATATACATGTATATGTATTCACATATGCATTCACGTATACACTCACATATGCATTCTTATTTCCATGTATAACGTATGTGTATTTATATATGCACTCAGTGGTCTATTCAATACGTGTGTAATATTGTCCACTCTATACATATGTGCTTCGCGTCTGGATAGAAATCTATTTCCACATATTCATATCTATATCTGCATTTATATACACATATACGTATACATACATACACACACATATATATGTATATATAATTATATATATATATGTGTGTGTGTGTCTGTGTGTACTATATCTCATTCCTACTATACCCAACCCCATCCTCATCTCGTCCACCTCCCCCCTCTCCTTCCCCTGCCAGATCTTCACCACAGACGCCTTCGATTACTTCAATGAGATGATGCCCGTCATAGACCAGTGCCTGTCGAATGGCTCTGCCACATTCTTTGATAACGCCGACTATCTCTCCGCGGTTTACAACATGTGTACAGCTGTTATGGCGAACGAAGACGCGGGAGAGGAGATGCACATGCGTGCTGCCATGTTGTGTGGCTCTGTATTTACTAATCTGCGCGGCGACAAGTTCCCAAGTATGTCTTGTGCCGTGTGTTACTATAAGATGGTCGTGTGTGGGTCATGCCCTGTAGGGGTCTGGGCTGTGTTACGTTACGTTACGTTACGTTACGTTACGTTACGTTACGTCCGTATTCCCATTGCAATGACTCGTTCCACGTCCGTTTTACTGTGTACCAGTGAGTGCTATGTATGCTACATATTATACACCTCCTTTCCCTTACTAACCACATTGCTCCCGCTGCCATGGATACCGTGTGTAGGTGACAGCGGTTTACAGCTGCCCGAAGAAGCACACAAACAGTTCCTGCTGTTGCTGCTCAAGCGATTGAACCAGCCCATGGAGACCATGCAGCTGAAGGTGTCACTACTCATGGCGGTATGTGATCGTTTGTGTATGTTGTTGATGTACAGAGATAGTATCGTGGTTTTGGTTGTACCTATGTTTGTGTACGTTGTGCGTATGTTGTTGATGTATAGATATAGTATGGTTGCATTGGTTGTACCTATGTTTGTGTATGTTCTTTGTATGTTGTTGATCTACAGATATAGTCTTGTGGCATTGGTTGTACCTATGTTGTGTGTATGGTGTTGATGTACCGATATAGTATCGTGGCATTGGTTGTACCTATGTTTGTGTACGTTGTTGATGTATAGATATAGTATCATGGTATTGGTTGTACCTATGTTTGTGTATGTATAGATATAGTATCGTTTCATTGGTTGTACCTATGTTTGTGTATGTTGTTGATGTATAGATATAGTATCATGGTATTGGTTGTACCTATGTTTGTGTATGCCGTGTGTATGTATAAATATAGTATCGTTTCATTGGTTGTACCTATGCTTGTGCGTGCTTCTTGTATGTTGTTGCTACCTGTTTTGGTTATACTTTACGTTCGCTAGGAACGGCTATAGATTTATAACAAACCACACCAGTGCACGTCTGCTGCTTCCTTAGCGGTTCGTAATACCAAACGTCTATTGCCAACCGATACAGAGTCAGCCAAACCAATGATACAGGCTCGCGCATAATTGAATATCTACCTTTAATCAGGGCAAAGTGGTACTGAACATATCGGTTTGTACTGAACATCTACTACCCACCCACTGGTTATATCCACTGCGGTGCCACTCTTTACGGTTGAGGGCATGGAGCTTATACTGACTGACTACATATCTACCATTCAATATGTGTAAGTATTCTATATCTACATACCTATCATCCTAACAGATCATCCTACACCCTCCATCCCCCCAGTTGGCCGAGGGCATCTTCTCCAACGCCGCCGTGTCCCTGGCCGTCTTCGAAGGCATTCAGCCCAGCCAGACAGACTATGTGTTCAGCATGCTGTGCTCACACCTGGAGAAGTTTACGCGTGTACATGACCTACAGTTGCTGATTGGTTTGTTCTGTGAGCTGCTGTGTCTGAGTGAAGAGGCTCTGCCTATGGTGTTGCGGCAGAAGTACGGGCCGGTGACTATGATGCAGATTGTCGCCACGTGCTTCCAGAAGATCCCGGAGGCAGAGAAGCGTATGTATATGTGTGTGTTTGTGTATAGATGTGTGCGGGAGTGGTCAAGCATTGGTGTAATAGCAGAATGTTAGCAGCCGAATCTATAGACTATACTATACTGTTCCCCCCCCCCACACACTCACTCACTCACACGCTACTGTCTATTACCACCTATAGCCTGTCTGTTACACCTGCCTTCTCTCCCTTAGCGTATATAAAACGCAGGGGTTGTTAAAAAGGTGTTGGGGTACAGCCACAGGATCCATGTGTGGGGGGGGGGGTTGCCCTGGTAGTGTGTGGCGTACTTCTGGGCCAAGAGAAACGTGCCGGTGAATCATACCACATACCAGCGTCAATGAAACATACGCATGTATTTATCAGCCTTTCATCAGTACACAATACGGTAAACTAGCACGAGGAGTGGTACGAGGGAGAAATAGAACCACTGGATGAAGGGCATGTATGCCCCCCTTATTTCTCATATGTGTGCCCTTATTTTCCCATATATGTTATTTTAATAGGAAGAGAGAAGTACGAGGAGTTGTACCATGGCGAAGTGGAATCGGAAGACGAAGAAGAATTCAATGAGGCCGACGCGGCAGCCATTGAGGCGCAAATCGGTGACGAAGTGGACGACGACGACGACTTCGAAGACGAGGAGGGTGATGCATACCTTAGAAGATTGGAGAAGGTACGAATATATAGTTCTATATATATATATATGATGAGTGCGTGTCCGCTTTTACTTTTTATTATGGTATTCTTGTCCACGTCTCAGTGTGCAATACGGACAGCATGCGCATTTCAACCCTTCCCGTCCACCCAGATTTCATTACCTTCCTCTAGCTTACTTACCTACTGACCTACTATCTCTACCCGGTGTTCTATTTTTAGATGGCCCAATATAGAGGCGAAGACGGTGAAGACGGGCTGGATGATGATCTATTTGATGAGGATGATCTATGCGCTGATAACATTATTGATAACATGGACCCCTACGTGCTGCTCAGCGATACGATACACGGCAAGCGACCGTTCAAGGGCGGCAACCCTACACAACCTGGTATGCATGCGGATATACCTTTGCTTGATGTGTACATATATGCAGATTTAATGTGTATATAAATATTGATTTAATGTGTATATAGAAATGGATTTAATATGTATATAGATATTGATTTAATGTGTATATAGAAATGGATTTAATGTGTATATAGATATGGATTTAATGTGTATATAGATGTGGATTTAATGGGCATATATATATGGATCAATGTGCATATAGATATGGATTTAGTGTGTTTATAGATAAAGATTTAATGTGCTTACAGGTATAGATTTGATGTGTATATAGATCTAGATTTAATGTGTATGAGTTTGTGGGTGCGTGGGTGGAACAGTTTGGTATACATGTGGATACATATATAAATTCTTGTGTGTGTGTGCGTGTAAAGTGTGTGTAGTGGTTTAGTACGCAAGTGGATGTATATCTGCATAGGTGTATGTTTGTCTGTGTGTGTAGACATACACGGCGTTGCAATAGCTGTGTCACGTGAGTGCACCTGTACATGGTTCGGGTCTCTGTGTGCGTGTGCGCTTGTGTTGAATGTACTATCAATACGTAAACGTTGAGCTCTGGGGCTTCTTGTGCCTTAACGGCAAGGGGTTTATTTTGGGTTAATACAGTCGAGAGGTTAAAGTGGAAAATGTTAAACCCTAAAATGTTGTTTGTGCGAGTATCAGCAACTCTGGCTCTGACCTGAACCCCAACTAAACATCTGCATGGGTGTGCATGTAGTGTGTGTCGTATGTTTCTTGGGTTGTGTGCTGTAGGGCTGTGCTATATAGAGCGTGTTATTGCTGGCTGATTTCGTGATATACCTTCCCATTAATGCGTATATAGTATATATATATATATATGTACCAGGGCGCAGACAGTGAAAGTATTTATGTTTTCGTTTACAGTTGAGGTTATTTGCATATATAGAGTATAGGTGAATCGTGAATTCTGATGACCCCAATACAGTGATCGCAAACCTCCATGTGCTGTCAAGTACCTCTTCGCTATCTGTGTGCCTCACACGGAAACTGCGAAGGAATATCATCACGCATGGTCATGTTATATCTTATCATATATATATATCTATATATAATCACCCATTGTTAATCATGTCATGGCTCCTAGTGCTAATTATGCCATCACATCACTCATTGGTTCATCTATACACTCCTATAGGAATCGGATCGCCCGCACAAGTAGGTTACAGGACCCCTGAGGGCTTCAGAGCATTGCTGGAGGGTGTGCCCCAGGAAGTACAGCAGGTGCTTATGGGAGTGTGCCAAACTGCCGTAGAGCGACAGACCGGCGCCGCCCAGACTGCCTAGGGGCCGATAGGAATCGCCACTTGCCTGGGTGTTTATATACCTTCAAACTCGAGGACTTGTGTATGTGTATGTGTACACATGTGGGTATGGTACATACATATGACCCACCCTGACGCATATTGTGCGTGTGGGAGATGTGTGGATGGGTTGGTACTACGTGCTTCGGAGCTGGGACGCTCGTATAAGCATTGAACGCTTGGCTGCATGCATGTACACACATTAAGACGCATATTGTAACACTCAACCACCAACCACAATTACAATTTAGATACTTACAGTTCATAGCAGAGCATGTACGGTTTTGAAAACGGTGCAATTCACGGGATCGCCTCACACGTGTGCACACGCACACTCCCTCCCCCAAGATCCTTCCCCGCACACACAACTTAGGCACAATGAGGCCCGGCGGGTATGATGCTCAGATGATCCAACTTTAATGTACAATAAAGAAAACTGGCGTACCTCGGTAGTGTAGTGCTCGTGTTGTTTTGTTTTGTTTTTATGAATACACCGAATGCTGCAGTATTCGATGAGGCTTTAGGTCGTGCGAGACTCGCACCCGAAAGTATGTAGCATGTTCACGTTAACGCAGTCATAAAGTGTATCTCCGTTTTCAGGTAGAAAGAAGTATATTAAAACGGACAAAACGTAGTACGTTTTAAGATTGCGTACTGATTTGGCAGCGTGTTAATTGAAGGCTGAAGCCTGCAGCCCGAATGGCCTGGGTTCTGACATACTCTGTACTAAATATTACAATGAAGTTGTGAACACTCTACACACACACACAGAGTGAGAATAACACTGTAACTTTTGTACGTCTGTAACAGTGAAATGTGAATACTGAATTGTAGGGAACTTATAACTTGCTACATTGTACATGACTTTTCAGTTTTAACTAACTTTTAACTGCCTAACCGCCGCAGTAAGGTTTTTAGACATATTTTGTTCAGAGGAACAAAGCAATATTTAATCTACTAGTTAGTAGACACTAGACATACTACTCACTCCGCCAAAACTTGTGACCGGTGGGCGGTGGATGCCAGTCTGCCTGAGTTTACAGTTGCAATACAACGTATTTACAAGTCATGTACATCACTTGTTGAATGTAAATACATGACTTGTTATTTATTTATTTATATGTACGATAAAAGTTTGAAAAGTTCTAAGTTGTATAGTGCGATTTGTTGGCGAACGGCCGCGCAGGCTCGAAAGAAGAGGAGGTTGGTGTATGATTGGTGCTTTGTGAACCGAAGTGCGGGGTAATATGAGCTGGAGATTGGCAGATGACGATATATGTTGAATAGATTTGTAAGTTCGAAATTAAGGAGATACACGATATGATTGGCGGCAGGATTCTCAAGGAAATCCTTCGGAAATAGTATAAATATATGGTTTAGTTCATTAAAAAGTTCATTCTACTAAGGTAGACGTTTATTCAACAATCGGGGAAATTAAACTAAGTTCACTTTTACATTGTGTTTTGAGCCGATCTTGGATTACAAATAAACGTTAGTGGAAAATGGTTTACGAGAAGGATGATGCAGCTGAAACTGGGCAACCGCTCTGGAGATAAGTGAGAGGGGAGCCGATGACAACACTTATGGATCGATGGGATTACGTCAGGGGTACCAAGGCTTATGAGCTCGAGGTGAAGAAAGGATGGTCTCGCCCAGCGATGGCTCTTTTGAAGGAGGTTACACCGGAGACGAAGTCGGGACTAGAGGGCTATATCAGCAAGACTGCTATTGAGACGAAAGATCTGTACATCGCGGCTGCAGCATTGTATCCAGCGTTTAAGGATCCATTTGAATTGAGCGGAACCCAGGCGAATTTTGCGAAGGCAATAGGAGGGTGGGAATCCAAGCCTGAAAAGGTCATTGAGCATCTTCGTGAGATTTATTACTATGGTGCTCGGCATGTTGCGGCGAAAGCTGAAGCGAAGAAAGTGCTCCCAGAACGGATCCATTTACTGAGGTGCCTTCTGAGGACGAACAGAACGGAAGTGAGACTGAGGAGGAAGTCGCTAGGGACAGTGACAGCAGTGATAACAGCGGAAGTAGCGACAGTGAGGATGAGGATGCTAAGAAGAAAAAGGAGTGCCTTCAGTTAAGGCAGCTACAGTAGGGAAGAAGGCTGATGCATCAGACAAGCCAAGGGCAGCAGCTAAGTTGAAGGTAGAGGCTAAGCGGAAACAGCGTGAGTATGATATTTGTGCAAGGTGATTCGTAGGAATGCTAAGAAAGCGAATCAACACGGGGCACGCTGGATGGTTCCTATGCTGAGGAATGATGACTATGTGGATATGCTGCTTAAAGGGTTTTAAGGATGTAGTGATGGAGGGCTTAAAAGGATTGACTGATCGGAGTATAAGTCTGCTGAAAGCCTTGTTTGCGAGTCGCAAATCGGAGAAGTACATGGTTCTGAGGATGTTTGAGGCAGGAGGGTTGGGCCAGGTGCTGGAGCAGTTGTCTGAGATGAGAGAAAACGACATAGCGCGTCAAGAAGAGAGGGAACAAGCGGGCCGGAGACATCAAGCGAGGGTAGCCGCGAAAGCAGGTCAGTTGCACGAAGCTGCAACTAGACATGAGCCCAGGGTTTCAGGGATGACAGGTCTGAGAGGGGCGTGCTTGTTTTGCAAGCAGGATGGTCACTATGTGAAAGAGTGTCCTGTGTTGAAAGACGTGGTGTGTCACGCGTGTAGCAAGAGAGGTCATACTGCGAGATTCTGTCCTACAACACGATCCGGGAGGTGCGTATGAGTGCAGATGGGACTGTGACATGCGGCGGCGACTAGTTATAAAGGACCAGGCCAACCTTTGATCTATAGTTATGTGGAGAGTGAACAGTATTATGTCGATATGTTTGTTGATCAAGGCGCCGATATGTCGATGATTTCTAAGGGTTTGGCAGAGCGTCTGGGGCTGGTTGCTCAGTACGATTTGTGTGGAATACAAGGTACGAGATGTTGAAGTTGTTTTGCCTACTTTAGTAGGAGAGAGGAGGGTTAAGTTGGATATGTGGGTTATGGATTGGGTTCCACACAATGCGGATATGTTGTTAGGCAGACGTGAATTGAATGGGTATGGATTAACTGGGGCATTGCTCACTAGGCAAGCGGCGACTAAGAATACCCTGTTTCCGGTTGAGGTGGTAAGAGAGAAGCTATCAGACTTTAAGACCTGGCTGAGCAAAGAGGTGTCTGAGCCGGTGTTAGATTATATTCAGCATGTGGCGGCGCCGTTATTATATCAGCGAGCAGAACAGGTAACACCATGTGATAGTATGCAAGATGATGGGGGTTATGATTCAGGTTATGAGAGTGATGGCTCTGGGGGTGAGGATGAGTATTTAATGTTCGATACGAGTGGCTTGGAACTGTTGGTTGGAGAATTGGGGAAGTCTACGGAAGAATTGGCGGAGTTGGTGGCGGCTATTAGGGGGTGGCGTACAATGACAAGGAACCAAAGTTTGTGAAGGATCGGATGCCTAAGCTTCAGATCGAAGAAGGAGGGGCACCTTTGAGACAAGTATATGCGGAGAAAGATGTGCGACTTATAGAAGTGATGAAGAAGAAGATACAACTATTGCTTGAAGCTGGGTTGATAGAGAGGGTGCAAAATACGGATTGGCTTACAGTGCCGAAACTTGTGTCTAAAGTGCAGGGTAGTAATCCCAGTTATGAGGAACCCAAGACTGGAGGATGTGTATAAATTATATGCGTACGAATTATCAGCTAGATTCGGGTACATATCCGATATCAACAGAAGATGAGTTTCTGGCAACAGTTAAGGGGCGCAAGTGGAGAACCAATGTGGACGCTGGAAATGGTTTTGGGCAGTTAATGATAGAGCCTGGTAGTCGAGGGGTAACTGTGTTTTTGACGCCCTGGGGTGAGAGGTTCTAATTTATTGGGATGCCGTTTGGTTTGAAGGAAGCATCATTTGTTTTTCAACAACTAATGGATGAGACATTGGAGGGTATTAAAAGAATTAAGACGTACATAAATGATACAGCGATAGGTTTGGACGATCCAGTTGAGCATTGGGATGGTATTGTAGAGATGATCAGGCGCTTTGAGGCTAAGGGATACAGTTGCGGCTGTCAAAATGTAATTTCGCGTATCGAGAAAATCTATAGTCGTGATGGGTCGAGAGGTTACAGATAAGGGTTCAATGATAAGTGAAGTGAAGCGTCAGGCGTTATTAGATATGCCCAGGCCCAAAACTAAGGCCGAAGTCAGGTCGTGGTATCAGTGTTTTGGATGGTGGGCGAGATACGTTCCGAATTCCTCAAATGTGTTGGCTCCGATTAGTGATTTGACTAAGAAGAAGGTACGGTTCCAGTGGGGTCCTGAGCAGGAGAAGGTTTTTCAGTCGGCTCGGAAGATTTTGCAGGCGAAGACAGTCTTGGTAGAAAAGACAGTCTTGGTAGAACCTAGACAAGTGGAGCAACTTAGGTTGCAGACAGATGAGTCGGATTCAGGTAGAGGTGCTTGTTTATGTGTAAGAAGAGATAGAGAATGGCTTTCGATGGGCTTTGTGAGTTCCAAGATAGATTTCCATATTAATCTGTCTCCGACAGGTAGAGAATTGATAGCTCTAGCATATGGATTTTTGAAGTTCGCGGGTTTGATTAGGAGGTCGTACGAGGTGCTTATAGTCGAGATGGATTATCAGCCTTTAATTAATGTGGTTCAGCAGGCAGAGTTCACGTCGGATCCATTGGGTAAGAGACGGTACAGAAATGTTATGTATGTACGGTCGTTTGATATGGATTTGCGGTACCTGGAAGGGCCAAAGAACGAAGTTGCGGATGGACTTAGTCGTATACCGTGGTGGTTTGATCCTATTATGCTGCCTGTGTCGGTAGAGGGTGTTAAGTTCGCTGCATGCGCAAAAATGGGTCTGCCAAAGATTGATGAAGGTGTGGACTTGCCATTTGATAAAGTTTGCAAGAATGTGGAAGATAGGAGGGTCCGGCTGGCGGCAGTTAAAGAGAAGCTATGAGTGTTAAAGGAGATTCTTGATGACAAGGTTGGTGCAGACTTCGAGGTTCGTGTGGGTTTATTGCATCAGCAGGCTACTGCAGTGATAGAGAGAGGCATTACTAAGATGTGGGATCCGGATGTAATGGCCAGCGAACAGCTTAAGTGTATTGGTCTAAGTGAATGGTCAGAACTTGTTCAGCCTTGGCAAGAGTACGTTATTGCGTTGGTGCATTAGACTTTAGCGCATGCTGGGGTAGATAGGACATGGGAGTTCCTGAAGGTTAAGTATGGAGAGGAAGTGTTGCGTTCGCAGGCTGTGAAGGTTTTAAAGAGTTATGTCGCGTGTCAACAAGTTGAGGGGCTTCGTGGGACTACAGGGTTGTTAATGCAGCCTAAGTGACCGAAAGGGGTTGCAGTGTGTATAGGCATGGATCATTTGACCTTACCAAGGACAGTTCACGGTTTCGAAGGTATTGTTACGGGCCGGCATTATACGGGGCAGGTTGACAGAGTAATTTAGGCGAAGTTGTTAGAGGTGATAAGTTCTGAGCTTCTGAGTGAAGCTGCTGTGCGGGATAGATCGGTGGCCATTAAAGATGAAGTAGCGAAGGAGGCGCAGGCAAGGCGGCTGACAAGAATAGAAAGGAGGCACCAGATTGGCAGCCGGGGCAGTTGGTTTGGTATACTAGTAGGTCGAAGGATAGTAAGTTGGCGAAAACCTATTTAGTGTGAGGTACAATTGTTATGAGGGAACATTTACAAGGGATGTACAAGATCAGAATTAATGGGAAGGTTAAGTCAGTGCATGTGGATCAGCTTAGTATTAGAATGCGTAGAAGGGAAGCTTGTTTGATCTGACATTGCAATTATACTGGTGAAGGGGCAGCTAGTGTTACAGAACTTGATGAAATGGTGGCAGTAATGCAATCAACAAAGATAGGGAGGACTTGGTTATATCCCATGAATTCAGCTTTTGGTATATATGTTGATACGATAGTCGATGCGGCGAAGCGAGGTGAGGGTAAGGGCGTGGTAGAAAATACTTTGGATTTGGCTATGAAGCATCACTTCAATAAGAACAGGTGAAACACGTTGCAGATGTTCTTCCAGGTTGCGAGGGATCCGATTTTGCGGAAGTGTAAACTTCGATGGATATTTCTATGTTTCAAACTATGTCATATAAATTAAGATACAATTTAAGTCAGTTAGGATTTAGCAGTGGTAGCTTGTGCAAGAATGATCGGGACTGCCTCTTGGTACGAGCCTTAATATCCTCTATCACATAGGACGTACCTCTAGCTGTTCTTTATTGAATAATTTTCACTAGAAGTACTAAGTGTTCGTGACCACATGTCTAATTTGTAGATAGACATAAGAACGTAAGTCACGTTAATACATTAGCTGATATAAATAAAGTTCCATCTGAAGAAAAGTTAAAAAAAGAAAAAGACTTATTGGATTTTGGAGATTGGCGGGAGGACCTAAATTTATAAGTAGTAGTTCGGAGATTATAAAATTTAGTTTATAATATCCTACATCTGCTATCGTCTCAAATACGACCTAGTAAATGAGTCATACCAAATACTCAGGCTATTGGAGCCATCAAAGTGAATTTAGAACACTTTGGAAATATTGGAGAAAAAAAACTTATATTTAATTATTTTAAATACAAATAAAAACCAACGTGTTATCTCATTTGATCTTGATATTTTAGACTGACCGGAGGCCGTATTTCTACA